TCTTTTTATATACTAATTCAAAGGAACTTTTTAAAAAACTGTCAATTATTCTTAAACTTGAAATTGAGATAGAGAAAAAAAACTTTAAAGATAAGTTAAACTTAATCGAACGAATAAATTTGAAAGACATGATTATTCATCATATTTCTTTCTCATTTTTTCAGTTCTATTCTAGAGAGACGTAAACTACATTGATATGATTTATTCATTTTTTTTACCGATGGAAAACCTTATAAATTGAATAAATGAACAAAAAATTGGCGATGCCATTTATTTATCCTTTTAATATGCATTATAATATTAGTAACTCAATCCCCACACATTTTAAAGAGTATTAAACAATTTTTAAAGTAACAAATGATTGAATGAATACTAATTTAATTTATTTTAAAAATTCAAAATAAAGTAAAATAATAAAAAATTAAAGAAAAAAATCATTTTAAAAAAAAGAATCAATGAAGCATAGTAAAAGTAGGAAGAAACGCTAAATGCGGCATGACAAGGCAAGTTATATTTAATGGATTGAGGATAATTTTTTTCTTTCCCAATCCGTTTTGCTCCATTTTCTTATTTACTTCTTATAAGTTGAATCCCCTCCACGAAAATTCTGGCTCCGCCACTAGGGTCGGGCTGGGTTCGGTCCATGGGCCAAAACTATTTATTTAAAGATAACTTATAGAAATCTCACTAGTGTATGAACTATTTACTTAAATGCATGCTATGTTGTAATATTACGAATCTTACCAGATTTTGGTGCGTCTAGATACATGGATCTCGGGATACATGAACTCAAAATTAAGTGTAACTTGTTTTAAATACACTCTATCTAAGTGGATTCGCATGTATCTAAAATATATAAACAAATCCTGTCCCCTCACTTCCCTCTCATCTCGCTCGCCACTCTTTTATCTCGCTCGCGTCTGGAATGCATCACCCCAGATACATGTATCTTGTGTAACTAGTATCCTAGATACATGCTAATTACACTAGATTTTTTTGCTAGTGTTATTGAAACAACACATTGATAGCCATATTTGAGTTGAAAATCTTCTCATTTTCTTGATGTTATAGAATTTTAAGTTTAAAAAGAAAAAAATATTAACTAAATTGGTGTAATACCCCAGAATTTTTTTTGAACTAAGACTTGTACCATCCTTCGTTGGGAGTAGGATTTTACTGAGGAATTAAAATTTCTTAAGTGTTAAGTTCACTAGATGTACCACCTTGAGTTCGAAAAAGAACTAAATTGGAAATAGCAAAATCTGAAATTTTGCAAGTTAAGCTAAGTATGAGTTTTGGGTCGACTTAAAATGATCATAACTCCTAGCTCATGATGAGTTAGGTGTTCTATCAGATACCGTAGGAAAAATCTTTGAATTATCTTTCCAACGCCACCGAGTTTTCT